ACAACCATCAAGTCTCATGGCTCAGTGTATCGGTTGTCTGTAGCAGTCAAGAAGAGTGATTTTACCTTACATGTTGATGGACTAGCAAAAGGGCAACTTGGGAAAACTTGGCTGTCTGTTGCACTGCAGGATAAAGGAAATGACTCATCAGGGTGACAGTTCTTGTATATCCCATTGTGAAGGTTTTCTTTATTGATATAAACATAGATAACCTAGGAAAAATGAAAGATACATACAAACACACACAAGTAAGCTGCTTCTTCCTTGAATTAGTAATGCATAGATGTAACACTAATCTTGTAGGATTGTCTCTTCTTCAGCGGACTGCTGGTAGACTGATTCTCCTGTGAGGTCTTTCTTTCATAGCAAAATGTATAAAGCAGGAAGACAGTTCCAAGATTTCTTCTCTTCTGTTGGTCAGGAAAGCATCCACTGATGCCAAGGAGTCAGTAAAGAAGATAAGCTTTAATTTTTACCTTCTATGTATGACTGTATTGTCACTAAAGCATTAAAAAAAAAAAGTTCAGATTCTTTCTCTGTTCATTGTATTAAATGGAATGGCCACTTGCTCTCGTGCTTTGATAAATGCTTTGGAAGCAAAGTTAGACAGAGCCACATGTAGGATCCAAAAAAAAAAAAGTGGGGGCTTTTGGGAGGCTTAACTGAACTTGCACTACTAAGCATTGTTTTGCCATTTAGAAAAGCTAGTTCAAAGTTCAACTATGCCTCTACAAAATCGATTCTATACTATCTGGGCACTAAGTAGCACAAGAAGGAATTTATCTCAAAGGGAGAACAATTTCTTGGCGCTGTTACTGCTTTCCTTTTTGTTAGATAAATGGTCAGCTGTGCTGTTATCTAACCTAATGTCATCCTCCACTATGTGCAGCACAGTTGATCTTGGTACTTTATGAAGTCCCTGATTCTATTGACTTCAGTGGGTGATTTGTCTGCACGTTTCTCTTCTGTTCTCTAATGCCACCGAGGCCTCTTAAGCGACTCACACTGGTGCATCCTTGTTCCAGATGGTGTGATGAGCAAGTACTCAACATAAAATGCAGATTGTGGAGGAATCTCTCCTTTATAGAAAGAGGCTGATATGAGTTAGGGAAGACTAGAAAAGAGTGAATTGTTATTGCAGTTCTGTGTGTCAAACCACTTGCAAATATCAGTTTTATGTGTTTTTCCCCGTGGTCTTAGCTGGCCGGCATATGCTGGTAGAGAGGAAAACCTGAGAGGCTCTCACCCTATTCAAATCCTCTTCAAAACATGATTGGATGCTGTCCTACTGTTACAGGGCATCTCTAAATGTTTGCACTGCACAGCAAGCATGCAGAGTGTGAGGAGGGCTTGCATATAGGTTACAGGATCACTGGCTTTCTTTAAGCAAGACTATGGCTTACTCTGTGCAGTTGAATTGTGAACAGTCAACCTTCTTCCCTTCTTTATGCCAACATAGTGGTACTGTGTTTGTCAGAAACCACCACAAACTCAGGGTTTTGCCTCCTAGCATCTCTCATGCTTCATTCCTGTTAAATTCTGTTTATGCTTTCATGGGCTGCAGGTGTCTGAAAGTCATAACTCTCAAAAGAAAAAGAACACAAAACAAAACTGGGCACTTATGTCAACTTCAATGTAAATGTTAAGGCAGCCTAGGTTAATAGCTTCAGACACAGTCTGGAGTAGTTGTAGTTTTCACCAGGTGAAATAATAGTAGTTTTCACTTTCTACTACTGTGTTATGTTAGATGTCAGTTTTTGTTTTATCTAGGCCCTTTCTTTAGGACTTTGTTTTTTTTATCTATTAAATGTCTAGAACTATTGCTTCTATATAAATAATAAAATAATAATATGAGCTATGTTTTTCATTGCATTTCATTGTAGGGTTTCATATTTTGTTTGTTGCTTCACAATGAATAGCTACTAAATCATGATAACCTATTTTATAATAATTGTAGAAGTGAGGGATCATGCTAATAGCAAGCTACAGTTACATCAAATGTTTAAAGGAATACCTTTTTTACAGGTTTTATTTTTTTCCCAATATTCCGGTTGATTGGATACCCAGTTTCTGAAATTTGATATTTCTCATCTGCTATGAAATCAAATTAAGGATAAGCAGTATTTCAAACAGCTGAAAGATAGAGGCATAAGACCAAAATAGGGGCCAGTTGAACTAGATAATCCTGGAGGTCTTTTCCAACCTTAATGATTCTATGAGTCCATAGAAATCAAAGCTTACAATTCAGAGGGAAATGCTGGTAACAAACATTTCTGTAACATCTGCATGACTTTTTCTATATCTTTGCTATCAATGTGAATTTTGTCTCACATTGACTCCATTCAGTGTGAAGAGTTCTTTCAAATATGCAAGTAGCCCATAACTATTGCATGCTTCTAGGAAATAGGCTTCCAACATCTGTGGAAAACTTACTGCCTGTGTCACACTGTGCGGATCTGCGTGTGGGTGTTGGAAATGCTGCTTGCCAGCTCGCTGTTTTAATCAGTGGCATGAGATTCATAAAATCCAGACATCTTTTTTGGTACATGGCAAAGTTACTGGTTTCCTCTTCCTTTTGACCTGAGAAAACCCAGTCATTTTTCCTTGTCTTCCCCTAATTAAGGATGCCAGCAGCAATGGAAACACTTTCCTAGCAGTGTTATTCCATGTTCCAGTTCCTAGAGCTGTTGTATCATTAGTTTGATGTCGATACATATGTGGCTGACTTCACAGAAATATTTCAGGTAAAGCTTTTTGCCCAGAAATAATATTGGAAACATTACCAGCATTTCCGGCTTGGTTCCTGTACTAAATAATGTTATTTTTCAGCTTTGAACTTGTCCTTCATGGGATGGGAAGAAAGTATGTGACATTTTTCAAAGAGTACTTAGTTTTCCTGGTACCCAGGTAGTCAATGTAGGCTTCAGAAACTTCAGCCCTATTGCCTGCTTGTGCTAGTGCTAGGCACTGAAATGAGTGGGGGATTGGTTTTGTTGCTGTTATTTTTAAGAGATTCAATGTTTTATTTTGGAGCATTTTTTACAGGGTTTTCCTTTACAAATTTATAAATATGCTAGTATCTTGCTGAAGCGAGTAAAGAGCTGATGTGTAAGGAATGGGTAAATAAAACATTGACATTAGCAGTGTGAACACATATTTCAGAACTTAGATTTGCACTGTGCAGGTCATCACTCTGCTGTGGTGAGTGTTATGGTGTACAGTGTGGTCCCATCTTACATGACAGATTCTCTTTGACCTGGGACTTCCAGTCGAGGCCAGGCCCTAGCCTGCTCGCCAGCCCCTCAGCAGTGCCCTGACTTGAAATGTACTGCTCACAGTTAACTTTTGGGCTGTCAGGATTTATTCTAGTGTTCCTAATTCACACCAATTTTGTTCCTTTTCTACTTGTGGATAACATTAGCCGTTGACGCTCTACTCAAAATGGAGATTGGGCTTCAAATCCTAAAATATTCTGGGAAGTCAGTCAGGTTCAGGTTGCTGAATTTCAATCACAAGGCACACGTGAAATGGGGGGAATTGGGATTGCAGCCACTGCAGTGCATAACCATACTCATGCCTGCCTCCAAGTGGACAAATCCTGCTTTCTTAATTAAGAAGTGCTAATGTCATTCTTCAATAATGCAGCTGAACCCATTCTCAGCTAGAAGGAAATTGCTTTAAAGAAAAGATTTCCTCCAGCTTTGCAGTTTTGATCCTGTTCCTGTGGTGATTATGGTGAATATCTTGTTTAACAGGCTTTTTGCTTCTCTATGTTCACAAATATTTAGTTTGTTTAATGTCAATAAATGTCACAGCTTTTGCTCTTGAGCAGTTTGAAGTGGGCTGGATTTTATTGTTCTTATGCATAGCTATAAAAAAAGTAATTGCTGTAACTGCAAGTCCCATTAAAGGCAAGGGGAATTGTCTGTGAATATGCAAGGGGAGAGCTTTGCTTTACGCTATTATTCTGTTACTTAATTGAATAAAGTTCCAGATTTGTGACTTTAATTCATGGTAATTAAAAGAGAAGTGGTATCAAGTTAGAAAACACTACTAAATATTGAATGTGGGGAATATAAATTACTCAATGGCATAGACTCCTGCAGTTGGTAATACAATTTAGTAGTTTGGAAATTCTCACTTTTTTTTTTTCTTAAATGATTTCAAATACAATAATAAAACTTTTAAAAAATTCTAAACTTCTAATAAGAGTATTTTTTCAAATGTTTATAATTCCAACCTAAATTATGTAGAACATACTAAATGTCTATAAAAGAGAAGGAAGAAAAGTAGATTGCACAAGTTATAAACTTGTGATGTAACCATATGAAGCATGCTGTGGGAGAATTAAGGCAAAAGTACAGTCTTCTGATGTAAAAATCAGTAAAAGAAAATAGGCAAACTTGTTTAGAATAAGTCATTAAAAAAATGAATAACATCTAAACTTCGGAATCAGTTACCACGAGCTGACCTATTTCTGTTTTCCTACATAGAGATTAGGGCTTCTTTTTTTTCATATCATACTTTGCTAATCTATCAAAAAAGCCCCACACAAACATCATTACAAGTGCAGCATATGGTCAGTGCTTTAAACAGCAATAGGATGCAGAAAATATTGATGTTGAGAGACAGAAGCAGCAAGCATCCTTAGAACAATAAATGTATTGGAGGGGGATGAATTGGAGTAGTTGTGGTAAATCAGGTCAGATGAAACAAGAAATTTAGCAAATGGAAGTAACAACGTTCTTTCCTGTAAATATTTAGGTAGTTCTGAAATATAATGTGTTTCCATCTAGCCCCAGTAACTACTTCAGACAGATAATTATCTGAGGAAAATTAGGATTGTTGATGCTTTCCACAAAGATGTTATAATAGTTCAACTAACAAGTGAATAATCTATTCAGTGCTTCTTTTATTTTGCTTTTCTGTAGACAAAACATGGATGCACACTCCTGAAGCCTTATCAAAGCATTATATTCCCTATAATGCAAAGGTAAGAAAATACGAAGTTATTTTCTCCTCTTACCTTTAGAACGCGGTGCATTCTATCTTGCTTTTCATTTGAAAACTGCAGGGACATGAAGTAGCCAAATGAAACAGCGAGGAAAGACTTAGTGTGTAAATGTCTGTTTTGCAGATGAAAATGTTCTATTTCTTAAATAAGGGCCAGATGATTCTCCTTCTGTCTGAATTACTTGATTCTGTAGAAAGCAAACAGGTGTTTTTCTTCTGCTCGATTTTCTATTCCTTTTTAATAGTTGCCAAATGGATGGAAATTTGGACTGCAAAGGAATTTAACATCAGGTTGCATGTGTACAGTGCTATAAAAATTAAAATGAATAACACTCCTTTTGAACAGTAGTAAAGACAAAGAGTAATGATCCTATCTGCTGGATACGTTGATATGTCAAATACTGAGAAATATGGTAGAATAATAACTGGATTTTTGAATAGTAAAATCAGAAGTCTTACTCCGGTGTAATCTTCTCTCAGTTAGGATGAAGTGTTTTAATTAGCCTAATGACATCCGTTCACAGGAAAAGAATCTTTCCAAAATAAAAACTTAGAAAATGGCAACTTATTACTTGCCGTTGTAGTGGGAGGATATTTCAATGAGATTCCACCATGGTATGTTCTGGATAATGTTCCCTGTGTTTTATCCCATAATTGTTTTGTTTTGTTTTGCTTTTTAAACATAAAGTTGAAAATCATTTCACAGACCAAGACTCAGTTTAATCTGCTGGTACTTCATGCAGGTGGATTTGCAATTTTTTTTTTGCTTAACGCTACCATACAGTGAGCAAGTGTTTGTAGTGGAAATTTGAGTCACCTTCTGCTTGTTGCCAGGTGAACATGTTTTTATTCTGTTTGCTCTCAAACTGAATTTTCAACCAAAGGATGTATTACCATTTAACTGGATAGCCTTACCAGACACCTTGGCTTTTATATTAGAATTTTTGAGAGGGAGGAATACTTGCTGGGGTTACTGTACCATCTGTTGTAAGAGCAAGTTGAAGCTATGAATTCTATTAACGCATTGAACAAGACCTGTTTGTTTGTGATCTTTATTTAAAGAGAAAAAAGAAACCTCCTTCGTCTTTCTTGTCTCATTGTCTTTCTTAAAAGCATATCTCATAAATAGGTGTCACTACAGGTATGCAGAAACATTTTTTAAAATAAAGATGACAGTGATGGGGTGGTGCTAACTGCAGAAACAACACTGTCAATAACTGCTGGGACAGAAGAGAAGAGGTGGGAAGTTCCTGTCCAAAAGAAGTCTGCTTTATTTGGGTTAATATATGCTCAAGTTCTTCTGCTTCTGTTCATTGTGAATTCAGGTCTCATAGTGTATGTATGTTTTTTTTTTTTTTTTTTAAAAAAAAAGGTCCCATTTTATCTGTTAGCTTTAAATAAAGTTTTCACTTCAATTCTCAAGTATCGTTTTTGTCCAGTTCTTCAGCCTTTTTCTGTTTAAAAGGAGACCTTGTATATATTAGCACATCATTTGAGTTTTGTGACATCTTGGCTTTTAACTAATATACCCAGCTGATTTCAAATCTTGTAACTGGGTCATGAACTAATGACTAAAATCTCAGGAAGCATCTGTGAAGCAAGTATTGAAGAAGACTCGTGGATTACTTTTTTTTTTTTTTTTCTCAAATCTTCATAGCCATCATTTCACTTCTCATTCTATAACATTATATCCATGAAGCTTTTGTATTTGTTGGGAGGAAATGACAACACTTTTCCATTTGATTTCTTTCAGAAGGTAATTATGTGAGTGAAGAATAATAGAGAATAAAAAAGATGACATGTTCAGAAAATTAAATCTAGTTGATGGAAAGTGTTCTTTTCACAGGTGTTCTTTTTTCCAAGGCAAGTGAGCTTTGTTCTGCTACATAGTTTCTTGAACGTAAATTACTCTGGATGAAAAATCGTGTTTTTTGCTGTCTTAGATTAAAAGAAAAAAAAAAAAAGCGTTTCTATGACACTGATCTTCTGAGATGATCAGAAAAAGAAGAATTAAAAAAAAAAAGAAAAAGAAAAATGAAAAATGGGTTTTTGTTTCTTTACTCTTTTTGTGTAGACATCTATTAGGAATTAGCAAAAGCATGTTGAAAAAATGCAGCTCATGAGTCTACCGTTGTCTTATAAAGAACATTCCTGCTCGAGGAGGTAATAGGATGCTAAAAGCCACCTGCGATGTACAGAATTGCCCTCTTTTGCACAAACTGGGGAGAACTCTTTAATAAAAAATCAGTAATGTCTGGTATCAGTTAGGACATGCATCCTCTAGATGATTTATGGCAATAATCCTCTTTGCAACAAAACACAGGCAAGATTGTTTCTTCTGCAAGTACAATCTAGGAGTCCACAAGAAGTATCCTTAAATAAAAAAAGTGGATGTTCTGTTTTTCAGCATGGTTTGTGTATGGCATAAGTTGGGGGAGGGAGGTGGAGTTTAGTTTGTGGACGGTAAAAGTGGTTTATTTCGGTATGGTCTGGAGGTAAAATCTAGGCCTACTGAGGTGAGAATTTTGCAATCAGATCCTTTGTGAACCCCTGTTTTTCTGGAATATGTCACTCCAGCTAAAAGCATATTAATCACATAACATCCCCTCCACCCCCCAAAAAAAAAATCATAATCTGGGTAGTGATAGTCGCATTATAACGTGATATACAAGGGATACAAGACTCATTTAGGTGTAACAGCATAGAAATTTTCACCTAACAAAAGCTATTTATATTACCAGGATATAAAATGTGAAGGCAAACTAAAATTTCTCATTTAATTCATCTTCCCCTGTAATGTTCCATAACTAAGAACAGATGTTTGTATTATTTTCCATACTGTAGGGAAAAAAGGCTCTCTTTTGCCCTCAAGTTAATTTTCTTGATTTTAGGCCAGTGTTTTCTCTGCAACAAAAGTGTGATCAAAGTGTGACTTTATGGAATCTGACTGCAACCTTAAAAATGGACTGACTGTTGTCATCATGTAATTGATACTGCCCTGAGGGATGAGTTTCTGCTAAGTTGCTGCCCAAAACAACAATAAGTTTACTATGTCTCTCTGTATTAAATTATATTTATATTCTTCCAATATTCCCCTTATGGTCACTTGGCTGTTTTTTGGTTTATATCAGATTTCTACATGCACATCTTTCCGTTTTGCACATTAGAGATTCGGTTTTGCAAGTCTGATGTTTATGTTGGCTACCAGCATCCTATGAAGCCTAGTAGTGTCAACCTTGCATGAGGTCTGAAGAGCTGCCATTTTGCATAATACATGGCACATTAAACCCTATAGAGTTTATTTTACCAAGAGATATGATGGCTTCCTAATTCATAAACAGCTGTTTTCTTACTGCTTGCTTCATGTTTGTATTGTTTTAAAACTTCATACATTGTTATGGATATACTTACAATTCTTGATGAAGTTGAGAATTGAGATTTTGAAGATAAAAGACCAAAATTTCTCCAAAGAAAAATAATAATAAAATGCTAACCTCATTTTGTGTTATTGTGGCTCTTTTTTATGACAGTTAATCGTGAATTGTTGTGCAGTTTCGTGAATGATCTTTCAATTATTAAATATGTACCTTGGACTTATATTGCAACTGTAGAAATGAGAAAGTGCATTAATAGTAAATAGCCTGCTTTGCACTACCTAATAGTATTATTCCTTACTGTGGTACAATAAACAAAACTTAGTACGTAATTTCCTATTTCTTCAGCTTTCTTACCATTTGGGACTAGCAGATAATGCTTTTCTGGATGAAGCATTTTAGGTGACAAGTGTGCTACTTAAGTGATGTAACTACAGTAGCAAGCCTTTTGGTGCAATTGTATCATTTGACTATCTGTATCATTAGCATGATGTATTATCAAAAGCTGTTTTCATGGTGTAAACTGTGTTCCTACTACAAGGCGATATGGCTATTCTTGTAGATTTTCCTTTTTCCCCAGTAAACATATTACAGAATAATAGCGTGTCAGTACAAACAGTAAATGAAACTAATGAAAGAATATGAAAGAGAAAATGGTATATAGATTTTCTAGGTAAACAAAAGTACAAGACACATTATTAAAAGTATACTTAAATTTATATGGTGAACTTAGAATATTGCAAGATACTCCAAGCAGAGCAGGAAAATGTTGCAAATGAGAAACTAATGAAATAGAAGAGGGCATTAGTGGAAATAACTCATTTTCCTACATTACATTTATTATAATTAGAATTAATAACTGCATTTCAATTAATTTTCATTAGTCTCAAAATGCCTTGGATGTAAACATAACGAATGTAAGTGTTTAACTGCAAGAAAAATGAGTATCAGGAAAATATCCAAATTAAATACGAAAGGAGTAAATGCAAATCTGAACTTCTTAGTTATTTCTGATACATTGCAGTTATTAAACTTGGGGTTCATTGTGCCAGGGATCAAATAAACATGTAAACAAAACATAGTTAGAGATTACAAGGGGTACTGCTAGAAGACTTCCGTGCTTTAGAGAAAGGGATCTACCTCTTCCATTTTGCTTACAAGTTAATGCAGAGGAAAAGGGTAGGAGACTGGTATACACAAAAATATGCTATGAAATAGACAACTGTGATGCAAGAGGATCATATGTAAACCTCCAACAACAACAAACGTCTCCTATCAGTAACTGAATGAGGGGAGCTGCATTATAATTGTTCGGTATCGAGCAGTTCCAGTTGTTGTCACTTTTCTATGTGAAAAATGGTGAATATTTGGTTTCCTTAAAACTTGCACAGTTAAGTGCCTCAGAAGGCTCTGTGGGGTAGATGGCTTTTGAAATTCTTTAAGTGTGCTTTGTCTGAGCTTACACATGCAGTTTCCAAAGGACAAGAACTAAGTCTGCATCTCCTGAGCCTTGTCTAGCCTTCTGAGCACAAAGCCAACCCTTACTTCAGTCACTAATGTATCACTGTACAGTAGGAAGATGAGTAGGATTTGCAGATCATTGTAGATCTCTACCTGCATATGAATGCACAGAGGTTCAAAGGCTGTATGAATGCATGTTGTGTATACTTGAGTAGCCCCCAATGCCCCCCAGATGTACGCATGTCAAGACCATTTGCAAGAGTTAGAAGGTATATGCCTTATGGTGTCTGTGTGCATCTGCACCTAGAGTTTTGTCTTTCACATCCATTTACTGCTGCTCGTCTGAAAGCTTTGGAAAAGTGACTTGCTTATAATTGAAGTGCCAATATCTGTTATAACTGAACACTGGCTGAGGTGTTTAGAAAAATAGAAGAAAGGCAGCTGTTCAGTTTTGCCATGGGTATGACCTCTTCCCTGGTGTCGAAATCCCTCTTAGTTACAAGTAAAATATGCAGCTACACAACCTCACGGTTTACAGGTCATCCTTATTCCTCAGAATGCATCTTGCTTCAAGGAAGGAATGAAGTTTGAACAATTTCATTTTTTCTTTCTTAAGGTCCGTTTCTGTGTGTAGCTTTAACAGAGAGCTTTAGGTTTGACTGAAGCTCCCAGTGTCATACATAAATGCAAAGTGTGTATCGTTTTGAGATGTATAGCTGAGAGCAAATAAATGCTTAGATCCAAGTAATTAAAATTTGACAAGGTAGTAAACACTTAAAGAGTTGAAGTGAGGGTATGTGAAGTGTTTTGGATGCTCCGAGTACACATACTGCTAATTCTGCAGTGTAACAGTGGAGTATAAAGATGAATACATATTTGTACTGAAAGCAGGGACATGACTGATCAACATAGTTTGCCTAATGCCTATCTTTTCATTTGCAAATACTACAGCTAATTTTAAGCACACATGAGCTGAAGTCCCTGTAAGTTGGGCTAATAACTTTTTCGGCCTTGTCCCTTGAGCTCTGTAGGGTAAATGGAAAGACTACAAATCTGCTTCACTTGCCCGACATCCATACCTGGCAGGGCATCCCCATCTGATTGCTCAAGGCTAAGAAAAACTAGAAAGCGGTTGAGATATTAGACAAAGCTGTTTAACATGAAGTGTAATTTCTTTTCCTGTCTCAGGTATAACAATTAATAAAGCAGATGTTGTAGTCTGATATTTTTGATGGTGGAAAAAAAATCTCAGTGGTTTTAGTTATGAGATAAAATATTGGTTGTGGTTTTGAATACATTATAAACTGCAACTAAAAAAGACAAAAGAGTAGCTTTTGATCTATTCTCCAGAGCTCTCATCCTCTCTCAGGTTCTGCTTATGATCCCTTGGTCTCTTCCTTTTCACTTGAAGCTCCATTTCACTTGAAATGTCTAAGTACTATATGACGTGCTTCAATTACAATTATGAAGCATATTTGCAATGCAAATAAGAAACAGAAGCTATAATTTCACGGGGAGAATTAAAAATAGATGACACCAATTAATGGTTGCATATGCACATAGGATCTGGAAGGTATTTTAAGTACCTTTTTCATTAATGTATTAAATAGTATATTGAAACTTCTCTATAATAAAGCAATCTGAATTGAAGCTAGCCAGTTACCTGCAACAGCTTTGGAGTTGTATTCAGAACAGTTAGGAGCAGGTTTCTTTCTTTGGTATGCAATCTGTTTGTTTCTCTGCCATAAATTGCCTTACATCCATTCTGCTTAGAACCCTAGCTGCTTAATTACAGTCTTTTCCTCTTTCTCTGACTTCATGAGCAGTCTAAGTTTAATTCTTTCTTAAGGGAAAAATATTTTTGTAGCAACCAACAGCTTTAGACACATTTTTGTAAGAGGTCCGAGGATCACTTATTTGGCACTGAAGATATATCTAACAACTATAATCTGGATTGAAAATGTAAAGCTGCCGAAGACTTAGCTCATTTTTGGATGTTGATGCATGATTTTAGAAAGATCGAATGCCTTATTCCTTGAATGTTATGGAGTTGTCCTTTGGCTACAGTTATATTTGCATTAAGATTTGCTTTGGCATTGAAATGTAAGAATCTGCAATAAATTAGGTTGGAAGGGGTCTCTGGAGATCATCCAGCTGATTCCTACCTGAAGAAAAGCTAACTTAAAAATCGGGTGAGACACAGCAGAGCCTTATACAATCAAGCTTTAAATTCCTGCAAGGACAGAGACGTGCAGACTCTGGGCAGCCTGTTCCAGTACTTAATCACTGTCACTGTGAAACTTTTTTTCCCCTCATTTCTAGTTGTAGTTTCTTTTGCTGCAACTTGTGATTCTTAGACTTACACACATCTGCACACACACCAGCCTTGTAATCTTCAGCTTGAACAAGTGCTGCCCCCTTTGCTTCTCACAATGAACTGTTATCCATTTTCCTAACCACCTTGTTAGGCCTGAATGCAATTTGTAGTTTATTTTTCTTTAAGAATGGGTTATTGTTGCTCTATTTCATGTTGAGATGAAGAGCTTCTGGAGTGTGAAACTCCTGGAATTCATACAACTTCTAGGTTACAAGGGACATAGTTTATATGTGGGAAACATTTTTTGTTGGTGTTGTTTTGTTTTGTTTTGTTTTGTTTTGTTTTGCTCGAGGCTTTTCTTAGCCTTTCACTGTAAGGCCTTGGTCTCCTGAGTCTTCACTGTCTTGGCTAAGTCTGAAAATCTGCAGCAGGAGACTACATAGGATTGATTTATCTGGCATGGTCTGCAGTTAGAAAGACTTGTTGATGGCATGATTAAAATAGTACACTGATCAATACCATGGTACCTGAGACCTATCTATGCTAGGTACATCCTTTAGATTATTTTTGTTGCAGAAATAATAATTGCAATTCTATTCTTGCTGTGGAAGAGTTGGTTTCTGGAACGTAGAACAGACATAAATTAAGGTGTTAATCAAACTAGCTCTGATAGTAGGAGAAAATATTAGTATGTATGACATACAGAGAAGGAAGCAGAAGGTTTGTAGCAGTAATAGCAATCCTCTTTCAATTGCAGTTCTTTGTAATATGGCATTTAGTATTGAATACAACATCTAAAGTATATTTCTAAAGACAGTGTATTAAACAAAAGTGTAAAAATAAGCTTTGAACATAAATGCATCACTGTCCATACCTAGTAGTTCCCTCAAACGTGCTGAGCAATGAGACTGTTGAGACAAAGATATGAAATCATTAGAAGCTTTGTAACAACTCTTCTAAGTGTCATTTTGTTATTCTTTAGAAAAAAGAATTAATATTTGATTATAGATCTTTAATGGCTGGGAAAGATGCTCAGAAACCGCAGTTCCTTGAGCTCGGCAGAACAGAAAAGAGCAGGCACCACAAGAATAACAGGCAGAGAGTGGTACAAATATCTGTTCAAGACAACTAAACAAAGCTCAGAGGTTTGTCCATAGAAAATGAAGTAAATATCAGTATGCTAGGAAAAAAAGGACAGAATTTCCAAAAACCTTAGGGTCAGCAAAGATATGCACAACTCTCCCTTCATCCCTTTCTGTTCCTTCTCTATTGCTGATATTTATTCCCTTGCCTCTTCTTAAGGCTGCTGGAAACTACCAATTAGCCTCATTAGCATGCTCTCCAGGGATTCTTTCTGCACAGTTGTATTTCCATGTGAGCTGTCGGCTGTGAGAATGTGAGGTTTCCTTAAGCAGACTTTTTAGCCTCTGGACTGTCAAGTGAGTTGCATGTCTGACACTTGAACTAATAGGCTACAGAGTTCAAACATCCGGATTATTGTACGTGCGGGTTAGGTGGCCCCCAGCTGTTTATGGATTGTTCTTGCTTTAAATTTGAATCAGGCCTGCGGATGAATTAACTCCTCCTTTTCTCATCTCCCATTTTTGACAAAGTTGGATATTTCTGTTCAGCCTTTGCTGTATTTATGAAGACACTCCCTTCTTCTCACATCTAGTGTGCACTAAAAAGATTTAGGCAACTCTCCCAAAATGAACTGGAAAATATAAAAATAGAACTGAATCAGAGAAAATATGAAAATGGCACAACTTTTTGAACAGGAACATCTGTAAGGGCATAGCTTTACCAATTAAAACAAGACTACAGGAATCTGTCCAGCAGCCAGGCAGAACAGCAAGTAAAATAAATTCATCATTCTAAAAACAAAAGGACTTCATACATGCTCATCTTCTTTATGAGGATTCATCATCAAGAAGCCATTGGACAAGTTACTAGCTGCAGCTTGTGACTTTTTAAACTCTATTAGAATAGTTATGTATGTAGCCAGTTGTGGATCCTGGACTGTAATGAGTATTTCTCTCAGAAATGCCTCCTTCAGATCACTTGGATTTAGGAATTGTAAGGTCCGCCTTGACCTGTCTTAAAAAGCACATTGAACCTAAGAACCTAAGCTGTGGCATGTCAGAGAACTTTTCATTACTGGTTTGGGACATGGCCAAGAATCATATTTGCATGAACTAATTTGTAAAGCTTTGTTCAAATATTTTGTATTTTTACTAGAAATTATTGCCCACTTAGAGGGAGAGAGTGTTGGGTTTTTCATGGGTATCATTTTCTTCTTTCTGAATCCTTAAGGAAACCAAATCTAGAAAGTTTCTGGAGGTTTTTCAAGTAAGTAATCTTTCAATTTGTTGCTGTAGTTTGTCTAAAAAGAGGAAAAATGGGGAAACAAGGATATGCATCAAATCTTGATGACAATTGTGGAGCCAGAAGGTGCATTGGAATGAGCAGATCACTTGAAGCACTGGCTGAAAATGTCCCTAAGGCATATCTCTTATTATTGCTGTAGACTTCTGTGCTTTCGAAATAGGAAATTCTAGAGAGAGAGTCAGAGAGAGAAGTTACTCAGCAAATTGCGTGAATTAGAGTATTCAGTTAATAAGATAAAGTGGAAGGAAAGTTGTCTACTCCAGAATATAGGTTTGTTGCTGGAAATCCATTAAAATCAGGAATGTTTGGGTCATCATAAGTCAACATTCAGAGGCCATATTCAACTTGCACTACATGAGGCTTTGAGGAACTGCAACTGTTAGAGGCAAACCATTCTCAAAATGGAAAAGTATTCACCTAAATTGCATGTGCATACTTAATGTTCCAACCAATTTTAAGAGGTTTAAACATAGATACAGCTCTGGGGATTTTTTTGAATATTTATTTATTATTATTTTTAACTTAATGGACATCTAAATGACATGGTATAAGCTGTCCTTGATTTCATATGTGGTCAGGTGAATTCTCCTTCCTTCTTTTGTACCATATTTCAGGGGCTTGCAATCTTCCCCTGGAGTTGAGGAAGGTGGGAAGATCAAGTCTCAATTGCATCCTTTTTGTCTTTAAAATTTGAGAGCGCTCTGTTCGTTTTAAACTAGTTTTAGCTTTTTACTTGTATTTTTATTAGCTATTAGAATGTTGTGTACAAGGAAGAATGTGGCTCAATGTCTTACATTGATTTTTATTAGTAGCACTCAGAGGTACAAACTGAAATTATGCTGTGCATTTCCAAGAGTTTATTGTCATTTATCACAGTTCACTTAGATCATCAATTCCTTGAAGCTAAGGGCTATCTTTTTGTTGTTTGTGCAGCCTCTAGAATAATGAGATGGAGCCTCTAGGTGCTACCGCGATGCAAATAATCATAGATCAAAGTTCAGAAGTAAGTGACAGAACACCTTGGAATTACCTCTAATGAGCTTACTCTTCAGAAAGAGTAATTAAACTATAATGGAGACAAGAAATGGATGAATTATTACCCTAAAGATATGGAACTGAGATAATACTGGATGTTTTCTGCAAATTTGTCCCAAATGACTGTTCTTTAATCAGATCTCAAATTCTAAATTCTACTTCAGTGCCTTGAGCTCAAGACTAAATGTATTCTCAGTATCTAGTCTCTTAGTAAAAAGGAGTATGTGGCTACTTTAAAAACTAAATCCTTATATGATTGTTTTTAAAATACACTGTTATCTTATTTTGCATTCAGCTGAGAATGGGAGAATCACTATAATGATCTAGACAAGATTAATTTTACTATTTTAGCACCAGAAGATAGCTCTTTTTATTGACAAGCATAATATTTTAGATGAAATAAGTTGCAGATAACATTACAGAGTCGGATTAATTGCTGTTGTAAAATAACATACAAAGTAATTTCCAGCTCTTTTGAATAGTTCATTTGAGATGTCCATCTCATCTACTTATCAATCTTCAAGTTAGTCTATGTTAAGGTCCAGATGACGGTGGTTTCACTTCATACTTCATGCTGACAGGTTGAACATGTCACTATTAAACATTTTTGCAGTTGTAAAAATAATCTTTCTAATTAAAAATCCCATTCCCTATAAATTATATTATTTAGAGGAAAATATTTTCTATATTTAGGTAGCGCTCTGCAAATTTGTTTCAATCATCTCTGGAATGGTAAAGTAAAAAGGGAGTGAAGTCTCTTACCCGCATCTTGGATTAAATAGCTCTCTTCATAGCTAGGTTTGGAAAAACTGCTGGTTACTGATATTCTTGAATATACTGAAGGCCATGTGTCCAATAATAGTGATCCCTGTATGTAGATTTTATAGCTGGCTTTAATGTGAGATCATATGAATAAAACAAAGACCATCCTTTACATGAAACAAGTGTATAAAGCAGTTATCAGCTGTGAGAAGACTGTTCTGGTTACATGAAGGAAGAAAAAAAAAATAAAAATCCAATATAACAATGTAACTAAACCAATACAAGAAAATCTGTGCTGGCTTCCCTGTCCCTTTTCCCACAAGATACCCACTTAATTTTAAGATATTTTCTCAGAGCTTCAAGTGTAATGCAGTTTGGGGGTTGGGGGGTGTCACAATTGTTGCTCTGCTTTGTTACCTTTTTTTTTTTTCCTCTGCTCATGGAGCTTCTCCCTCTTCAACTCCCACAGATACTCAGCTCACCTGATTTTTTCTTGGCCACCCTAGTCAATTCTCTCAAACTTCTGAGGGTGTTCTGTGAATCTGGTGACTCACAAAGACACTACAGATGTCATTTGCATAAAATTAACAATAGTCTTAGGGTAGTAGATGTGGCTTATGAAGTGTTTTTTAGGAGCAAAGGAAAAAATATATATATTTTTTCTGTCAGAAAACACATTTTCTTGGCCACTTATGTCAAAATACTGCTATTAATTTATGTGCATTTATTTAAGCACATCTATGTAGATTATTAATGTGATTAGAAATTACATTTCACTGACTCAGTTTTTCAGCACTGAAAATGATTTATTAAGAATAAGTTGGCTGTTTATTTTTTCCAAATGGTGATTCTCGGTATAGGAACTACAGTATAGAAAACAAAAACAAAGCAGTGACATAAACAACATGAAACCTACCCAAAGCTAATTCTTGGTTCACATTTCTGTTAATATACTTATCTACAAATATCTGTCCTGTGGTGTCCGTTTTCTCCTTGGAGTCACGTTTCTGCTTGGAATGTATGTATAAAAAAGTATTTGTTAGAGAAATTATAGCTATAACACTAGATTTTAAAGAGCAGATGATTTGTGGTAATGAGAGTTCAGATTCATAAATGTTCAGATTATGTTTAAAATTTTTGTAGTATGAAATAATCCTTGAAAGTACTGTTAAGTTTTCAGTGCTAAATGACTGGCTCGATGCATTCGTGATTTTTTCCCCAAAATATCAGTTTTCTGGTGTCTTGCTCATCCTCTTGTTGTCAGCCAAGTGTTTCTATGAATCAAGAATTAAAGTAAGAGTCGTTTCTTTTCATCTGTGGAACAGTAAGGCTCACAGTGTTAGAGGTCCTAATTTAGAAGAGATACAACATCCTTAAAATAGGCAACTTCATATTCCATATGAATAAAATGGAAAAGGACTTTAATAAAGCAAGAGTAATGGTCAGTAGTTACTTGTTCCTATTACTAAGGCCGTTTGTGTTTGAATGAGAGTTTTGTTCCTAACTGTGACTTCTGTTTTATCCCACAGGGAATTCCTGTTTCTGTGTCTATGGTATCATCGCATGTTGCCATGGCAAGTGTGTGATACTGCAAGTTCAACTGTATCATGTTAGTGATGGACAAGTGAGGTAGAAATGGGTTTAGACAAAAATAAACTTCGTTCACAAAAGTTGAAAAATTGTGTGGCATTATGTCTGCTTTTGTAAGATGTCGTTAATATTTTTCACTACAAAAGAGTAGCTTCAATACTTTGTTTGTCTTTATTAATATATGTATAAAAAATCCATTACAATTTCTTCCACATCTTGTAGAGCTGATTTACACTGAACAACAGCTGTGATGATTTTGTGTCCCAGCTTCAATCTGAAGCAGTTATTGCCAGCTGAGCACTTACAATTGCACAATCCCACCTTGAAATGGCACGTGAAAACTCCTGCTTGTTCTCGTACATCTTGTTTTGAAAGAAAGAATGTGAAGCCTGTGTTCCTCTAAATGCGTGCCTAACAATGAAATCATCTGGGAAATATCTCTTTGAAGGAACAACTGCTTTCTGAGTGATGTCATGGCCTGTTTACTCATGTGGCTTGGAGATGCACCCCTGGTTCAACTGGCTCTGTTAATGATGTTCTGAGTTAATGAAAATACTCCAAATTTTACTGAACTTCATCTTGTTGGTAAAGGAGATTTAGTTTGTAAAACTGGCAAAACCAGATAGGTTTTGTTATCAGATATTGAAAACATGTTTTGTTTTTTCATAATGGTGTTTTGTCAGCTCAGCTCAATTTTCATTATTTTTAGGGAGGCTTTATTAGCCTGAATATTTTGCAGCAACAGCAAAGTCAGCAAGACAGATGGAGCTCAAATAAATCAGCTTCAAGCTGTAACTTGCTATATTTTGTGGGGGGAAAAAAAATCCTAAATTACTTGCAGAATACTAACACAGAGCAGACCAGTGCGTGCTACATTTACAGGAACAGTGGTGTTCTGAAAACCAGGGGGCTGAAACTTTGGGCAAAGCAGAGTCAAAACTAGGACAGCAGTTTTGCGTGTTGTATACAGGGTGTTATACTGATAACTGCCAAGAAATTTGTGAGAACACCTACCACTTGGTGTCTTCATCTTACTGTTCTTTTAATGATAGTGCTGTACTAGATTGTGGTTTTCTTTTTGTTAGTTTGTTCTTCACTGTTTTGTTGTATTTTTTTTTCTTCTTTGTTTTGGGCAGTCCTCTATTAGCTTTGTGGGAATACTAAAGAAAATGAACTGTAACTTCAGTTACAGACTAGTCTTTTTTTGCAAGTAGTAGCAATGAAAATATTTTTTCACCCTGTGGTGCAGTGTAGTTCCCATTAGGCTTTCCAGTGTTGCTGGTTAGCATCTGCAGTGATTAAGTGGGGGTTAGAGGAAGGTGGTTTCTGCATTCTTAGGTTTCTAGCGGTATGTTGGATATCTTTGCAAAGGGATCTGTAAACAGAAATATTTGTACTACGCCAGTACATAAGAGTGGAATATAAGAGTTGCTGAAGTTGTGTCTTACTGTTAATTCACATAAATCACTGGAGTTGGAGTCTCCTTTATGAAAAAAAATGCAAACGAGACGTCAACTTCCTTATATTAAGATATTTTAAAATCTCTGTTGTATTGGGGGAAAAAAAAAAAAGAGCATTTCATTAAATTTTGATGGCTTAGTCCAACTTCCATAAAGAAATGACACTTCAGTCAAATCCAATTTCTGTGGTGCAGAACTAAGTCTACTGTCCAGTCAGAGGCTTGTAAAGCTGAAAATCTGCCTTTTCTCTCATTAGGCTGAATATTTGAAAGTTTAAAATACTGAAAAAGCTGAATCATGGGCTTGTAAATCACGGGCTTGTAAAGCTGAAAATCTGCCTATTCTCTTATTAGGCTGAATATTTGAAGTTGGAAATACTGAATATGAATTATTTTTAGGTAGACTCTTCAGTCAAGGTAGTTTTCTAGTAATGATAAAAAGGTTTATGTAAATATTTTTGCACTGGCAATAATCCAGTCAAGAATACTTCAGAATTGAGGCATTTCAGCAGTATTTTATGTCTTTGGTGACCAAGTATCAGAGGCTTCATGTTCAGAATATACCTTTCTGAAGGAAATGCCAAGTTTGTCAGTTCTCTTTTTCCCTGTCTGGATATGTGGTACCTTCAAAGAAAAATTCCTGTGAGTGTTCAAGTACCCTTTCCTGTGCAACCATATGAACAGAATTAAAGTCTGCTTGAATAATACCATCACTGAATGTTTGTTCAGTAATGATAACTCTTACATGAAGAAAGAGATGCTATATTTTTTTGACAGTGAATTCAGAGTTGCTAGTTCTTTTAGTTCTTCAAGGTCAGAGATTAAATGAAATGTGAACTTATACATGTATGACAGTAACAATGGAGGATTGCAGGAGCTGGAGTTATTGAGTGTCTCTAGTCAGGGATGGCTCAGTTATTTTCTAGGCAAGTCAGGAGCGACTCAGAAAGACCATAAAGGGGTTAAGCCAGATCGCAGTAGTCAATGATATGCTCTGCTGGTGTTTTTTTTCTTATTAGTTATCCTAAAACATCCAGGAGGTAGCAATGACACTCCGCAGGAGGTTCTGCAGAGCTGATGAATAATAATGGAGAATATGAAGATACAAATGTGATGTCATTGTTTTCAAGGACATTAGATGAATGTCTGTGTAAAGTGCTCATAGTTTCTGTACTGAAGCACAGGAGCTATTATGGCTTGAAGTTGGTGCCTTTGGATTATCCACCAACATCCCCTGTTGCAATAAAATGAGTGAACGGATCCTTTTAGAAAAAAAAAAAAATCAAATCAGATTTGTTCTGATGTGTAAAGACCAAAACTGGAGACACAGAGTATATCCCAACTATTCCCAAACTAAGTTTGGGAGTATTTTGGTTTTTGTTTGTTTTTGTTTTTACCTTCTTCATTTTATCCAGTCTCTGTGCAAAGGATTTTTACATGTGAAATGTAATGACAGTGCGGCACACGTGGAGAAGGCATGTCCCAATCACAACCAGGAAATATATGATAAGAAATGATTTTCTTCCAGAGATAAATTTGCTCACTCTACCATCTTCCCCTTCCCTTTTGTCCCTTCCCTTTTTCCTTTCATGGCAAATATTCTCTTTGATTTTTATATTGTTTTGTTAATATACCAGCTATGGGAAATGTGCTTAAAAGAAAAGCAGACCTTCAATGCAATCATTTGTGCATGTTTAAAATCTTCCCTTTTAAGCTCTTTTCCCACGTAGCAACAGCTTTTTATACATTTTCTAAAAATTACTTGAGCTTGCACTTCTTTGCTCAAACCTGGAGTATCCATCAGGGCTATTCATATGACCCTGCTGCTGCCCGTGTGCTCCTGCTGGGTACTAATGTAGAGCTCACTTGGACCAGCAGTGAATCCTTCACTGCACCGAACAGGTCTGCAGGGCAGAGGTAAAGAACTGCTTTTTCCTCTTCCAGTTTGAGGAGGAAGTAAATCTGCCTGAAGCTGTATTTATTCTCACTTTGCCTCTGGCGAAAATCTGGGAAGCTGATAATGGGGTGTGCCAGGGGAGTGCAGTGTGCAGCCCTCCCCAGCCCCTCGGCTCCGTTATAAGCTTCAGATTCAGCCTGACAGCTCTTCAGGCATGATATAGTTTGATACACGCTTTTGAAGCACTCTGTAGAGATTGATGGACTGAAAAAATAGGGAATGTTTTTTCTTGTATGACTGTTATTTTCTACAGTGACAGTCCTGACAAGATAAGCTTTTTACCTTTTTTGCTTTCTTTCTGTGTTCCAGCCTGCTTTTATCTTCCGTGTGGAGGTACCAGCTGTATCTTAACATTCCTTTACCTTTAGGATGAGATGTTTTTATGCAGAGAACATCTCTGGTACGGTGTTGCAGTCTGACTTGGTTTCAAATATATCCCTGTTGATAGCTTTCCTAGCAGATTACCACGCTGACTCCTCGGAGAAGCTTTCATCTTTTACAAAGTGTTTCCGTTGTTCTCCTGAAGTTCTGCTTGCAAAAACACTGGTTATATTAATATAGAATTTCCACTCCTGTTGTGTTTGCCTCTTCTTGTGGCTGTGGATTAAAATGCAGTGACACTTGAGGAATCTAACCTGGTGCAGTTAGTTTTTGCCTTTAAATTTACACCAAGCTTACTTGGATTTAGCTTACTTGGACCAGGCTTTAAGTCTCTTCTCAGTGAGAAGAGATGTCATTTCTCATTAGAACTATCCATGGGTCAGAAGACAGGTGTAGGCAAGATTAGGACTGCCTAATATCCTCAGTTCCTCGCACATCCTTAACAGAATATCTCTAGATATTTCTGCTTCCAACATACAGGTTCCTGGCAAGAACAGCTCCAAGAAATGTCTGTATTATATATGTCCATCAGCTGTTCAAAGGCATGTTAAGCTGTAGTTATAAAATTATCTTTATTATTTGTACATTGCATCAAATTTAAAGACTGAGATGATTACTTACACATTAGTTAGGAAAGAGTTTTTAGTTATTACGCTACTAGAAAATAGGAGAAAATTAACCATCAGGGCTTACTGGTTGCTTAAAATGAAGCATGGCATGTTTTACATCACTATGTCCCAAAGGTTCTGTAGTTAAAGGTTATCTAATCATTTTAGGCTCGTTTCTCTGATGATGTATTTTTTTGTCAACATTTTAGTATTTTATCAATGTTTTTATTTATATTTATTTGCTATAATTATTTGCGTTAAACATTTTCACCTATATTTTGTATCACTCTTTTGGTTTAGTCCTACTGACAGATGGTAATATTTAATTTTCATTAAAAGACATTTATTTTTTCTATATATTTCTAGTCATGCAGTCATGTCTTTTTTTTGCAAATAGTACCTGAATACTCTCTCAGAAAAATGCCTAAAATGTTTTTCCTCTATCAGAGTCAGTATTTATGCCTAATGTTACATGTCAGATGAGCAGGGGTTATTCGATAAATGTGCTCATGTCTGTGGCACATTTCTCTCCATACTCTCATGTGGTCCATTTGATTTCTGATCTCATCTGAGCAGCAGTCACGTCTGGGATAGATAGTTGTTTTTAAGGTGTGCTAGAGACGTGCAGATCCCCAAAGGGGAAAATGCAAACATTTCTGTACCCTGGCAAAGACTC